GTAAAAAAGGGAAAAGTCACCTACCAAATATGAAGTTATATATCAAGGCTTGCATTTGGCACAAATTCATAGATGAGAAGTCTTTCTTTTCCTTCTGTAATACCCCAAAATTTTGTGCTATCTTAGCATTTAAGTAAGGGTTTTTGTGTGAGAAAATATTGTTTTGGGCTTAAGAGCCAAAATGTCCAAACTTGAGGGACTTAAAAGAGGAGAATTTGGATAAGGATGGCTTATTTCTTTTCTCCCTTTTCCTCTTTCTTCTCCAGCCCGATTCTGCTCTTCTTCTTCTTGTCTTCCCGCTGCAGCCACCCGAAGAGAAAAAAAAAGAGGAACCCAGCCATGCCTTGGAAAATTGGTGAGAAAGCTTGGTTTTTGGCCTTCTTTTCTTGTCCAAGAACCTGATTTGGAACCCAGAAATCTTCCCCCCTTGCTGGAAAATCCAGATCTGCCTTGCTCTGCTCCTCACCGCCGGCTGCTCCTGCTTTGTGGGGGCGAATTTCTCTGATTTTGGGTAAGAAATAGCTCAAATTCTCCCTTCTCTAGCTTTGAATTGGCTTGGGTTAACTTTGATTGCTCTTATTTCCTTTAATTTTGGGGTAAAACCCGTGAGTTCCCTGCAGGATTTCTTCTTCCATGCCGCCGGCTCTTCCCCCTGCAGCTCCGGTTTTAGCTGGAAAATTATGGTATGTTGACAGCCTTTTAAGGCTTAAATTATCCATTTTGTTTGCTGCCTTGTGTGTCCGTGAATTGCTAGAAAAATGGGGGAATTTCGGTAGCTTTAGGACCATGATTAAGCACTAATTCAAGTGGGATTTATGTGATTGAGTGTTAATTGCTTGTTGTGATTTTTGGAGAGAAAAACCCGTGAATTAGCTAGTGGTTTGGCCAATTTTGGAGAGTGGAGTTACTGTTCACGTCGGTACTGTTCACGGGTACTGTTCACCGACACTGTTCACACCCCGAGGGCCAACATTTAACGGGAATTTAAGTGATTAGTTTGTGATATAAGAACGAATTGGGAGATATTTGATCATGTGGAAAGTGATAGAAATAGCATTGTGAGTAGGAATGATCCTAATGATGATTTCAGCTTGAATTTGTGATAGTCCGATATTAATTCTGAGGTGTTTTGATTAGGTTCCCGATCGTTCTGTCAGTTAGTACGTGAATTGAGTGCTCGGTTTTGTGCGAGTGAGGTAAGTAAATTATGGTAACGCCCTTTGATTTTAAAAGCATGTTTTGATTTGTTTTTGAAATGGTGGCGGGACTAAACCCGTTTTATACAAGTATGACTGATTTGAAGTGAAGTGTTTTATGCTTTTCATTAAATTGAGCATGCCTACTTGAAAGTGATTGTGAACTGTCCTGATGATCTGAAAGTGATTGTGAATTGTCCTGATGATCTGAAAGTGATTGTGAATTGTGATTTGCCTGTTAACTTCTGCCTGTTTTGTCTCCGATATGGTCATGTTATTCGTGTGCCCGCTAGTGGGAGGTTTATAAACGCTAGCACATGTCGACATGTTAGTGATAGAGCCGGTTCGTTCAACCCTGCTTGTGGGGGTTATACACCAGCAAATCGTGGCCCTACTAGTGGGGATTATACACTAGTATTCCTGTTTGCCTACCAGTGGGAACTGGCCATGACCTATAGAGGAGACGTCTATTTCGTGCCCGTACTGTATCCGTTTTTCGTGATTGCACTTGTTGGCATGCTATAAGTTTAATTAAGGGCACTCCATATTTACTTATTGAGTTTATCTCATAGTTTTCCTTGTCCACCATTTCAGGAAATGAAACCGAGGACGGGGAAACCACGGGAAGTGAAGAGTTAGAAAGCTAGCCATTTCGAGATTGATATAGATTTTAGAAATAAATCGTGATTTTGTAAGCTAGAGTGTATTTGGAGATTTATGATATCGGAGAAATCTTATAATTTGATCTTCAGATTTTGGTGGTATCAGAGTGTGATATGATAAGTTCCGAGCCTTGTGCACTTGTGGGACCCGTCTCACGAGTGTACGGCGTCTGTCGCGTCTCGAAATTGGGTTTTGGGGCGTGACACCTTCCAAGCAAAAACCAAGAAGCCTAACCAAATTACGGTGTTGAAGTTTGGCCACTTAGAGGACCTCATTCGTAAATTCGGATTCCCCTTGGTT